TTTTGGGCTAGGAGCTGATTGACTGAGTGAGTGGTCTCTTTTTTTTCACTTTTCTGTCTGAAAACCCGATTCAAAGATGTGACACAGACCAAAATACATGTGGAATCTAGTGATAGAACCAAAGAGAGTCGAGGAACTTAAGGATTTGTTATAGAGTTGAATTCGATTTGTGTTTTAAGAATTAGGTTACCCAGCTTTAAATGACAGTCATTGAGTTTATATAAAAAACTGAGCTTGTGTGGTGGGCTATAACTAACTGGAAATTTCACAAATGTTTTGAAATGTAGAATTCCTCCTGTTGTAATTCTACGCACATCTATCCATACAAAAAAACCAAAACAAACAGATGATTATAAAGTTATTAACAATAGTAATAAAGTGCAGCAGCAGAACATGAATTATTAAGTGTTAATCTGTTATTATTAGAGGCTGTTAGCATCGCTTAAAGCTGGGGTACGTGACTTTGAGACCAAACTATCAGAACTCATTTATATATTTGTTTTATTTGAGCATCAGTGAGTTTCACGTTTTCCAGCATGTTTTGAACTAAGCACAGGGTTCAGCAGATGTCACACAAAATAAAGGAAGTAAGGAAAGTAAATAACACCATTTCATGTATTTCTGGCCTCTGTCACAGATTTTGGTTTTTTATTTGTTCTTTTGTAAAGCGTCATTGAGTGTCCAAAAAAGCGTCATATAAGTACGATTCATTATTATTTATATCGCAGCAGCAGAGGTGGTGTTGCCTCTGGTGACGAGCCGCTTCCTATAACGTTAGCCAATAATGTAGAAGTGTAGCGTGATTAAAAGTTGCGATGCCCTTGTGGATGTCGGTGGGTTTTGTTTTGACACGGCTCCAAACAGATGACCACAGATGCTGCTCTGTCTGAGGTTGTTTGTATCAGTCAGGAGGAGGTTAGTGAAGTGATGAGGTGTCGCTGTTTAATGAGGAGTTCAGGGGAAATGTGTGTGCGCTTCATCACCTGCACATCTGTAACCACACTGCACCACAACTCTTTGACTCTGAAGTACATAGAAAACATCCAATATTTAGTTTTTCCGTTGCAGCAAATGTTAATAGTACCTCATATACTTTATTTGACATATACAGTACAGTGTATGTGTTTACCAGATTTTGATGGTCGTAAATTAAAGTTTGTGTAAGCTCTCAGTCGAACAGGGATTAGTCAAAGCAAAGGAAGGTTTCTCACCCATCATCTAAGAAGTAAAGATGATGGATGAGAAACCTTACTGTGCTTTGTCTAAAGTTAAAGTAAAGACAATATAACAGTATAGAAACCTGTGCAAATAAGATTAATATCAGTGCAGTTTTGTCAGTCTTTTTATTCTAATTTGAGGTTGTAATAATAATCCATGGAAAAATATTTCATGATATATTTTCTATGGGCTTTGTTTGCACATTATAATAATGAAATACAAACAACATTACAAGATTCCAATGTGCTTGTAAATGTTGCAGTTTTGGTTCAAATCCTGCCTCTGTTTCACTTTTGGTGAAGATTTCTATTGATTGACATTTGTATAGGTTTTATGGGACGATACTGACATTCTGTGACACAATTACGACAGAAGCAGAATATTTGCGGTGATATTTTATATTCTTCAAAACCATGTGCAGCAATAACAAATACTCAATACCAAATATTGCAACAAGATATTAACTAGATGTTGTTTTGCATATTACAGAAGCAAAAGTGATACACATAGTCAGGGGTGTTGCATTTTATACCCGTAACATTTGTTAATTCTTTGCACACTGTCACTTTGCCTCTGCCCGGGGACCTTCGGATGAAAATGAGCTCGTAACTATGTCCAGTCTGAACAATACATTTATTGTGCTATATCTCTGTCCGAATAGTTGAGCAGTACTTGTCTGCTCAAATCAAAAAAAAAAAAAAAAAAAAGAATAAATAAATAAAGAAAAAAAAGTGATGTTTCCAATATGCCATTATTTACATAGTGTCTCGTTGTGGTCTCGTGGCTGTATCTGTCAGAATCCCACATGTGCGGTGTCCCAAATGCTTTCACACTGGTATTCCATGTATTCCAGTTTAATTTATTTGAGAAAGAGAGTAGAATGAATGGGATCTTAGTGTTTCCTAAGCTCCCCACAGGACGCGGGAGCAAGGAGGTGAAAAAAAGTCAAACTCACAATGATTTGGGGTTATGAAAACATGTCCGACACATGTGCTCTCAATAAGAGGCGGTCAGGAGGAGCCACTCAGAGGAATTAGCCAGTCCAGGATTGCGGCAGAAACTATGCCACTACCAGCTGCTGCTCTTTGGAAATTAGGACAAATGCCAGAAGCTTAAAGCGTGTGCACCCGAGTGGTCTTTCTATCTCGGATTTTCCTCAGGGTTCTTAAAAGCCACATTGGATGGTCACGTCAAAGCAGACTGTCCATGTTATATTAAGCATCGGCATATGTTTCAGGGCAGGAGTGATGTGAACGGAGAGAATTCTTACTTTTGGCTCACATGTTTGCTTAATTTTTTTTGGCTTATCTTATAAATATACATTGTATTAGTATTCAGATGATTATCTCATCAACACATAGCTTGCAAAAGAAAAGAATAAATGAATATAAGCAGCCAAAATGAAAGTGGATCAGATAAAAGGATGAGTTTAAAACAAAATGGAGGATTATTTTTTTCATCAGAAGACTGGCTCTGTCACAAGAATGGTGACAATGCCTGAGAAGTGTTCAAACATGTTTTTCTAAATTGTTGGGGTAGCTGCAGATATAACGTGTATTAGCGCATACAACAAGTAAAGTAATCATTGAAAACGTCATTACAATGCAGATACAATTAAAAATGTATTACCACCAATAAAACATGTGCCCGCACAGGTACATAAGCGCACGCACACACACACACGCACACGCACACTGCTGTACTGTGGAACAAGCAGTCAAACGTATGAGGATAGCAGAAAGTAACAGGTGGCCCACCCAGCAGAGAAATATAAAATATCTTTTTTTAATATTAATTACTTTTTCACAGTTAAAATAATAAATCATTCAGTTACCGCTTTGGTGTGAACTCTAAGAACGGAAACTGCTCTGGAGGTAAAGCATCTCCTGACAGCTCTAACTGAGATTAATGTTGGGAGTGCATTAAGTGTTACTAAATGTTTTCACACCGATTAAGTAACTCAATGCCTTTGCTGGCACTGTGGCCTACAAGTCCTCTCACTCGTCTCCTCAGATAATGTGTGTGAAATAAGGTGCATTTCAACATTCACCTGCATCTGTATGTTAACAATGTGCAGCCACACGGTCAAAAAACTACTACAACAGATAGTGACCCCACCCTCATTCAGCCCAAAGTGTCAAATATTGACTCTCGGGGCTCTCTCAGTATGCAAGATCACATGTTTTCTACAAGGATGAAGACTGCCTAACAATATTATTTCGGTTGGAACAAACTACATGGGTTGCTTTATTTAGGGGAAAAAAGTTTGGTACCCAAGCTTTAAAGTGATAGTCTGTAACTCTAAATGAATTACAAATTTTAAGAATTTTATTAAATTGACCTCCTGGCCTTAAATGTTGATATAAAATAAGTCATTTTATTCTTTCTAATATTACTGGTAAGTCCCGCCTTCCCTTCTCTTAGCTATAGCTCAGAATCCACGATGCCGTCCACGTTAACCAATCGAGTCATGCCAAGGGCTGTCAATCATCGGCGCTGATGCTCGTAGCTGCGCGCATGCTCAGTTGTTTGTTTTCACTGAGCCTCCGAATCAAGCCATTTATATACTGAACCTATATCCATAATCATTTATATACTGAACTCATATCCATAACACTGGGTAACAAAAAATATTTTTTGAAAATAGTCCAGGGTTTTCCAGCTGAATTAGACTAATTTTGATGCTCTGAGTCCGAAAATGACCTTGGTTTTGCTCAATCAGGTCAGGTTTTGCTACAGAAATATTTTTTTTAATCGATTTTGCGTAAAAAACACATTTCTGCGGATCATCAGCTGAGAAACCCTTGACGTTTTTTCCATTTTCCTCAAGAAATAAAAGTCAACGTATCCAAGTCATTCAGTTTTTATTTACTCCATCAAATTTGATAAGCAGAATTCATAATAACGTAGACGTACATAATCTGTAACACTATGGCTGTATCTCAAAAAGTTGACCTGATAGAGCAAAATGCATGTGATATTCGGACTCAGAACAACAAAATTAGTCTAAATCAGTTGAGAAACCCCTGACCATTTTTTTGGCTGTCAACTTGTGTAACCTTTTATATACTGAACCTATATCCATAATCAGATCCTCTGCAGATGTGTCCTAAAATGTGCAATTCATGATAATAGCTACCTCCGGGTTTGCCGCGATCGCTTTTTTTGTGCATTAAAACATTATTTTTTTTCATGAAAACGTTAACAAATAATTCTGAAAACCTCCGTGCATGTGTATTAATAATGTATATGTATAATGTGTTCTCTGATTAACATTTAAAAGTATTACGGAAACGTAGGTGTAGACCAATCAGAAAGGAAGGGGGAGGGAGTTTTTTTCAAATCAAGTACCTCTCTCTTTCTTTCTGACAAACTCCAGACAATCACTTTAAGTAAACAAATAACAAAACTCCTTGCATGTCGATATAAGTCAATGCAATAAGTTTATATATGATTAACATAATGCAGATGTGTATTTAGATTTGTATTTTTTTTTAAAGATTTAGATTAAGAGAGCCTTTATTTGTCCCTCAGTGGGGAAATTTCAGTGTTGCATCACAAGTTAAAGACAGTAGGAATGAGGAACACTCAGCACAATATACATGAATAATAACCATACTAAAATAAAATCCAAAAGAAAGCTAACTCTAGCATAAAAAGAAGCAGTATAAAATCTCTATATTTAGCATAATTAGAAAATGCCCCTGTTATCTTATCTTGTGGTATATCTGTTGTCACGGTTGTCATTGTTGGGCTGTTTTTTGTGTTGTGTTATTTTGCAGGAGTCCCTCTCATCGACGGCGGCACAGTGCGTCTTCCCCGTCTCATCGGTCTGTCTCGGGCTTTAGACCTGATCCTGACTGGACGCCCGGTGGGAGCGCAGGAAGCTCTGGCCTACGGACTCGCAAACCGCATGGTCCCAGACGGACAAGGTACAACCATTATTTATTTACATTAAAGTCCTTAAAAATGTTTACTGCAGTTTGGATCCGACGTATCAAATGTTTTCCAATAAACCTCAGCTCTTGGCTTCAACACCGGGAGCGTCATCGTTCATTTGTTTCTCGGTCAAACTCTTCGCCAAGATTCTGTACGTTATGTATTTGTTTGAATGGGGCATTTCCTGTTATATTAATATAAAGCATTTCCATGTGTTAAGTTTGTTCTAGATGGAAACCGAAGCACTAAATTAGCTTTGTTTTCTTTCTTTTTTTTTATTTTGTAGACTGTGTTAAGCGTCATAAAGAAAGTAGTTTTACAGGTAGAATTTGTATATGTCCCACTGGGGCAATGGATCATGGCAACAATCATAATCATTATTATTTGGTTTTTAATTTAAATCTATAGACATCCATACAGTTGTGCTTGATTGTTTACACACACAGCCAAACATTGAATTGTGCTTCTCAGGAACTGTAGGATTTTTGCCGAGAAAAATGGGCAGCTAGATGCAGCTACCACAGTACCAGAAAAGGCTCCCGGCTCCAAGCTCCAAGATGTTAAAGGGGAAAATCAGACTACTGAGAACTGGGGGATGGAGACTTCTAATCAGGATCAGAATAGTACTTTCTGTTGTTCATATACATTTCAAAATAGAGAATACCTTTATTTGACAATAAATGGCTTTATACAACCACTAACGATGAATGAAATTATCATGTTTTTGTAATGTCGCCCCCCTCTGGCAGGAGGCTACGGTCCCCAAGCCACAATGTGTAAACTATCTACGCTCTCAAAGTTTGGTACTTCATTGTTAATGAGTTTTTGTGGATGTGTTTTTGTTGTTTCTCAGCTCTTGAAGTGGCGCTGCAGTTAGCCGAACAGATCAGCTCCTTTCCTCAGAAGTGTCTGAGAGCCGATCGCTCCTCCGCCATCTACAGCTGCTACGATGCACCGTCATTCACTCAGGTGCAGTGTTGGATCCATGCAGAATTTTACAGATATAAGCTATACTAAAGGATTTTAACGTTTCCTATAAAATAGTATGGTTTTAAAGTGAGAAGATATATTCACAGTGACGCCAAATGAGAATAAAGGAGAAAGTTGTTTTTTGGTCGATTAATCGGTCGATAGTATGCAAGAGTCAACAACCAGTATTTTTACTTATTATGATTAAATCGCAAGGATTTGTGCAAGATTTTTTTTTTTTATCAGAAGATAATTAGCTCAGGATTTAGACATTTTATTAATAAAGAGGTTATTGCACGCCCCACTTTTCAGTTTTTTATTTGTTAAAAAAGTTTAAATTATCCAATAAATTTTGTTCCACTTCACGATTGTGTCCCGCTTGTTGTTGATTCTTGACAAAAAATTTAATTTTTTTATTTTTATGTTTGAAGCCTGAAATGTGGCGAAATGTTGAAAGGTTCAAGGGGGCCGAATACTTTCGCAAGGCACTGTATATAATCTCACTTATAGGTCTATAATTGAGGTAAATAATAATGATAAAATTGTACATAATAATGTCCTTTTCTGTGCAGGCGCTGCAGTTTGAGGTGGACCACGGTCTCCCTGTGGTCCCGTCAGAGAGTGTAGCAGGAGCGGCCCGGTTCAGCTCCGGAGCGGGGCGCAGAGGGAAGTTCTAGAACTTAAAGATTACAGTCTCAAATTTATTTTTCAGGTGAACACATTTTTTTTCATTTATGATAATGATATTCTAATGTACTCTCTCACCACAATGCGGCTTTGTGGGTTTTTCTAAAAACATGTAATTATGAAATAGTTTAGTTGCGAGTGCAGTTTGAGCTGGGATTTGCATCAACTGTGAAGGAGCCAAACATGAACACAGGCTGATATGTCAGCGATCCGTGCTGGGCTCATTTTTAGGAATTGTAATTATGCAAAGATGGATGTTAAATCAAATTGTTAAACCAAACTTGTCACAAAATATTTATTTTCTTCTGTTTCTTTTTGTGTTTTATGAAAACATATGTTATTATCTGTTTCCAAACCACATCAACAATGGCTGCTGAATCCAGCCATTTTCCGCAAAAATTAGGACTGGACAATATGGGAAAATATCCCTAAAAATCTTTATATTATTAATCTTGTTTGTTTTTTAAGGACAAAAAAACATAGTTTCAGTAATTCATGAATTTAAACAAGGGAGGCCTTTACCAAGAACAATACCATTGAGATTGACATTTCATTAACAATAAAATAGATAAAAATCACAGAGGACCATGCAACCGAACCACTCATTCTAAGTTAAAATACAATTAATTAATTAAAAAGTGTTTTTTGCTCAACAGAACAGCCAGTGCACTTCCAGGTCTCAGAAAGGTGTCAATATTTTCAATGGATAAATATATTTATATTATTTACATGACGTATGTATACGTCATATAAATAATATAAAATATATTATTAAATATATATATATATATATATATATATATATATATTATAAAATATATTATTTATAATGTACCACTATAATGTATAGTTTTCAAGTTGAAATTCTCCTACATTTCAAATAGCGTTGTATAGTTTCCATATTAAATTGTATTTATCTGTTTAATGTCTTTCAATAAATGTCCGCATCACATTTTCAGTTGTTCTATTTCTTCACATTGAGCCATAATTCTCCTCTTTCTAAAGCACAACAGGGAAGAGTGTGGTTGTTTTTTTAAGTCAAGTCGAGTATTTCCTGGAGCTGGTGTTAGTGTGACCTGGAAACTGAAGACGGACCACTGTTTTGGAGGATCAGCATTTCTCTGATCTGTGCCAGGTGTTTGGAAACACACCTCAGCTCATTCATTTCTGGATCTTTTATGGTGATTTTTAAATGCTTTTTTCAAAATAACAAGTGGCCAAAAGACCAAAAATATCACGTGGGGAAACGTATATTATGGTGACATTTTTACTTCATTTGGCCAGTTTCACTTTCAGTATTTAAATACCTGAAAGATAGAATACATTCATTCATATTTGCTCTGTGTGTGTGCGTGCGTGCGTGGGCGTGCGTGTGCGTGTGTGTGTGTGTGGTGGTTTGACAGGCTGATGGTGCACATTGGCAGCCTCATTTCCGTCAGTCTACCCCAGGGCCGATGTGGCTCCAATAATAACTTAGCAGTTCTGTATGTCAAAAAGCTACAATGAAAAGTTTAGGAATCGAGTTGGTTTGGTCTTTTCCTAAACTACAGCAGCTAGATCACATAGATACCTACTGTATGTGTGTATGTGTGAGCGTGTGTGTGTGTGTGTGTGTGTGTAATCGACAGATAGTATTTGAAACGAATGTATGAAACTAGTAACACACTGACTGTCCCTGGAGCAGTAACAAGGCGCTGTGTTGTACTTGTGTCTGTTCAGGAGCGATGTGTAGCAGCAGACGAAGACCTCATCAGTTTTAGGAGTTGTCCGTCTAGACAGTGTGATGACAGGACGCACACCACTGTTTAATGTTTCTGACTCCTCCCTGTGCTTCCACCACACATCACCTGCTCCACCGTTGTCAGAGGACGGTTCCTGTGAGTCAAAGGGATATGCACTCATGTATGTGTGTTTGTTTAATGTTTCCAGCAAGCCTCTTCCCTGCTTTGACAGAGGTGCATGGTGGGAATTTCAGAACGAATAAACATCAACATCGTTCATTAGAAAACGGAAAAAGAAATAACTAATATCTACATCAGAGGTCAAATTCAATGCCCGTATAATTTTTGCATACATTATTTTGTGGTAGCTGTAGCCTATCATCCTCATTATACAAAGTCACTCTTTAGGTTCTCAATTAAAAAATAGACATTGGCATCGTTGAGAAATTTAATTTATCTGCACTTTTTTATTTACCTGTCTTCATTCTGAGAACCCAACCAGAACTGTACAAGAGGTGCCACCATGAAACGCCTCTCCCACAGTGTCCAGTCCCAATGTATATAAAGTCTCTAGTCAGTCCTCCTTTTCAGCCGAAGAAGCTATTCATCCAATTCAATTCAATGTATTTTTGCATAGGCCTAAATCACAACAGAGGAAGACTTAACTTTGAGATATTCTGTGTTAAATTCGCCAACACAGATCAGAGAATCACACTGTTCAAACTTAGTAAATAGTATCGAAAACACATTGGTATTGGCTCATCAGGGGCAGACGACCCCTGCCCATAAGTGTTGATAAATGTCCATATATGTATTTGGAACTGAAACTTGAGACCATAGACTGTAAAAATTAACGGACGTGGTCACACCTATCTCCGCCGTTCTAACTAATGGGCCAAAAATAATACTCTACTGGAACTATCCAAAATGGCCGCGAGTGGTCCCGCCCACAAGAAAATTGTTAAAAAACGTATCTGCGCATGCGTCAGCCGGCGCAGCTCCATTTATTTGAACAAGAGACTTCAAAAATTCACAGCGAGTAAACTAGAGTGGTCCAAAAAAATTCACCCCCCTCAGCATTGACACACATGTGGAACGGAGCTTTGGGCCAAGAGCATCCTGTAAAGACGTTTTCTAGAGGTCTGCCAATGCTGTATGTTAGCATTGGCTAATTCTTCTTATGGGTCCACCCCCATCGGCCCGGGGTGGTATTGCAGCATGTCAGCGCACGTCATTTTGGCCACTTTTGAGCTGGGACCCGCTCCCACTGCTTGAGACATATAGTAACACCTTTTAAAGAAAGCTTAAATTATTGTATAGTTCTTCTTAAAATGTGACCATAGTGGCTCAAAATTTGCATCATTTTGTTCATATCTGTAGTCTTTTTTTTGTACAGGTGTTGAAAAGGTGAAGTTTATTGAAGTCATAATACGCGTTGAAAGATTTTTTATGAATAGCAGAACATGACCTGGTGGATGCTCTTAGGTCAAATACAGAAGACAACAATTCCCATTTGGATTATCAATAGTTTCATGGGCGTCACAGTGGCTGAGTGGATAGAACTCTCGCCTCTCAGCAAGAAGGTCCTGGGTTCAAATCTTGGTCGGACCAGGGCCTTTCTGAGTGGAGTTTGCATGTTCTCTCCGTGTCTGGCATGCGCCTCCTGTACTGTTGACCCCGCTCCCATCTCTGTGTGGAGTGAGAGACAAATGCCCAAAAAAATAACAATTGTAAACTGCTTTGTGACTCTGGTCTGTGAAAGGCGGTGTATAAATAAAGATTACTTACTTACTTCATGATTTTAACCTTTGTTTAGGCACTTGTAACATGTCTGTCCATCGTGTGTACATTGTGTGTACCGCTACAACAACATTGTGAAGCGCTTTGTGTGACCTTGGTCTGAGAACAACACATATAGATGACTTACACTACAATACAGTAAGTAACACAAAGGCTGCGTGTCTAAATGGTAGATTAGTTTCAAGGGCAAACATGCCCAAACTATGGTCGCCCCAGATGCATTGCCCCTCAGGATCTTGGGTAATTGAGCCTTTTTAAAGATTCAGATTCATGTTATTTGCCTTTTGCAGTAAGACCATATTGGAATATAGAAATACCCCAGTGTGCACCAGATAAATATATAAAATAAAACAAGCTAAAAAATACAAGAAACAATTGTCTCTACATCGATCAACAGAAACGGTTTCAATACAAGGATCTTTACACTCGGATAATGCCAAAATGTTAGTTTAGTGTAGAGTGCCTTGTGTTTCTAAGCATTCATACATATCTAGTGGCTTTAGATAGATAGATGGATAACAACTGTATTGATCCCCGTAGGAGAAATTCAGAACATAGAACATTGAATAACCACACTTAATCTTATCTGAGTTGTTATCTTGCCTCCACCAACAGTGCGAGGTAAATGTCTTAAAAATGTCTTCAAAATCTCTTAATGTACGTCTGATCTTTCCTCTGTTTCAAACTGGTCTTTCTCTAGTTTTGGTAAACCAAACTTTTCAGGAAAAAGAAAAGCACAGTTGAAACAAAAACCCAATGAAAGGCAGTGACAAACATACTTACAGCTTTGGACCAGATTGAGATGAAGAGATCGTCCCACAGTGGGGAAATTTCAGTCTTGCAGCTCCAGTTACAGAACAGTTTAAGAAGGAGAGAACAATAACTCTATGCTAAAATGATATAAAATTCTACCACAAATTCTAAAATCTATAACTTTCGCATAATATAGAAGCAAGAATGAAGTATAAAATCTCAGACTTCAGCATATTACTAGTGCTAATACCTGTATTCATGACTTTAGTGCATCCCTGAACCTCCCCTTGTTTGGTTCCGTGTTTCAACATGTGGCCTTTGATGTTAAGAAAAAAGTACACCTCTGCTCTAAGCCATTATTGTGAATTTGATTTTGATTTCACTTCTCAGGCCCCTCATGTTACCTGCCCTAAGGCCAATAAAACTGAGAAGATGAGTTGATTATCAAAAATGTACCTGACTGCATACAACTGCTTCGTACTTTTTTAATTCACTGTCTTGGTTGGAGGTTATATATTGCTTTATGGGATACAGCATGTGCACATTTTGTTTTTAGACACAAACTTAAATCTGTCAAACCGTAAACGATTTTCCGGGTGTGGAGACGACTTCTTGTACATTTGTTTAGCGTGACAAGCACCGCAGCTGACCTGAGAAATGTTTAAACATGTCTTCCACGCTGTTTGTTAAAGAGCTTCCTCAAATTACCCGTTTCGTCCCAAACCCCGAAGACCTGCGCTGTGGTTTGAGATGAACGCCAGAGGACAGGAACCAGGAGATGTCTGAGCAATAAAGAAACTCTCTTTTTGTGGTGGGATTAAAACTAGGAAAGAAATATTTCAAACGCTACAGACTGAGGCGCTGCATAAGCATAACTGTAAATCAAAAGTGAGCTCTTATTCAAATAAATGTTGGATTTGGGTCCAAGTTAAACAAAAAGTAGGAAATGAATTGCTTCTATGAGAGCGGTGCTTCTCTCTGTCAGATGCTTGAATTGTTAGTGTAAAAGTACATCGTTCAATAACAGAATCTATTATTGTACTGCAAAAAATGCATTCTGAGAAAATAATATACAAAGTACGACAGTGGTAATGAAGGATGGCACAATTGGGGTTATGTTTTTTTATCTTTATGCCAATCTAAATGCTCCCAGAAATTGGCATTAAAGTCAGCAGGGGTTTTATATATATATTTGTACTACTGTCCCTTTACTGCACTGATGAATGCCTATTGTGTGTACTTTGTGTACTTGTATATAGGAGTAATTTATTAAGAAATGTTGTGAAGATTTTTTTTTTATGTAAAAAATAGGATGATATATGATGAAATAATTGTGAGATAGTTGTGTAAATAAGGTTACAAATGTGTATGTACTAGTGAAGAACATTTTAAATATTTTGTTTTATCTACTTGTGCCTTTTTATCTTTATCCAATGAAGTGGTACTGCATATCACATACTGTACAGTCATTTTGAGCTAAAGCAATAAAAAGCCCTTATTTCATGTTGAGATCAAAACATTGAGGTATTTTGCTGAGTTGGAGTCGTGTCCATTGTGGAGAGGCTGTTGGTATGTGGTTCTTTGATGCTGCTTCTCACTCTTCACTCGCAGATAAGATAATGGGAGCAGACGCCCCGCTGCAGGAGATATGGACACCTTTGGGCTTTATCTTCTGGAACATCGACTGCAGAGACACAACACAGCCTCGAGAAATAAAAGAAAGAAAGAAGACAAAAGTACTGCAGGTATTTTTTTATAATAGGGGTCCGGATATGTGCCCGAACCTTAAGGACTTCAATTATTGCACACCAAAAGTTCCCCAACCATTAGTCATTTATCAGTTATTTTTGACTTGTGAACAATTTAAAGTTAAGTAGTATATTGTTTATATATACTATATATATATATTTACAAAATTAGCACAATACAAAGTTGGAATTCAAGTTAACCCAACTGAACTGAACTGTTAAAATGACCTGCAACCAATCCAGAACTACTTTTCCAATGCACTACACATATAAATCAAATCTACTCTGGTAAAGATGTCAAAATCACACCCATACTTCAGCAAAAGTACAATAATGAAATCAATTTTGGTCGACAATGTACAGTGAGACTTTAATTATTACCTTTCTAACATTTAAAAACACATTACTGTTGTAAAACATGTCATACACAGCCAGAGTATGTGACAATAAATAAGACCAGTAGAAATAGTTATCTGCTTATAGTGGCCAAACACAATGAATTAACCATTTCAAACATGCCTTTATGTGATGTGCAAAGTAAAACAGATATTTGAGTTTTAAAGTGAGTGCAAAAATGTGTCTGAAACCAGAAAAGAACGTTTACTTTTTAATAGTAAAGTAAAACATACTTAACATCCACATATGTGCACATCAAATAATGGAAGAACACAAAATACAGATGAATAAAAACAAACTCACGTGACCAACTATTGACAAGCAACAGATTTACGGCTCCGTTGGATCCTCCACGTCTATGCCACACGTACAGGTTCTGTCTGGAGCGCCTTTTCCTCGTGTGTAATTCGCTGCTGTTTCCTTGTCTATCGTCAGGGGTCGTGCGTCAACTGGGGAAACTTTTGAGTGGTCAAGCTGCTGTGGCCGTTCAGTTCAGTAATCATTACCACAGACACATCAACATACAGAAAACAATCACAGATAAAGCTACAACTCTATAACCGTGAGCGATTAGAAAATAAATACAATTGATTAATGAGTATTTGCAGCATTCTACACAGAAACAGGTTATATATGATATTTATCCACATATATTATTAAGAATCCGTGCTATACTGTCTACCATTCAATACCAAAGTATAATAGTAATAGTAGTAGTAGTGTATAAATCAAAGTCCCTGTTGTATGATGGCAGTTGTGGGCTCCACCTCTGCTCGTTGCGCGCATTGGGGGCGGTTTCTGGACCTTTACGCGCGCGGCTCATGGACGCGCAACATATTATGGACTGCAACCTGCTGATTCCTCTGAGTGGAGCCTGCAGCGGCCACAGAGAGTCACCCACTGTGGCAATAAAGAAACTGCGTCTACACGGAAATACATTCATGTCCAGGAATGGCTACGTTTACGCACGGGAGCGCTGTTTGTTCAGTGGATTTGATGGTGGTCAAAGTTTGATTCATTTTTCACTTGTTTCATCTGGAGGTGCCAGAAATGAAAGCAAGTGCGTCGCTGTTAATTAGATCTTGTCTATGGGAGTTTTTCCAATGGCTTGACACGGGATTGTTCCTTCGCGAGTGATTACGACAGATAACAGCCGGACTTTGGTTCCTATCCCTCGGACTTTAGCGCTGTCACCATGCGAGGCTGCTGGCTCTGCTGCTTCTTCGGAGTGTGGTGGAGCGCGTACTACTGCACCGTCCCTGTCTCCGGGAGGAACAACTTCTCTCTGGATGGAAACAACGAGGTGCACCCGGGGTTCATCCACCGGAGACTGAGGACGCACGAGAAACGGGAGATGCAGAAGGAGATTTTATCCATCCTGGGACTACCGCACAGACCGAGACCGCATCTGTCCCACGGGAAATACAACTCTGCGCCGCTGTTCATGTTGGACTTGTACAACACCATATCCAGCGAGGAAAAGAGCCAGGTGGAGGGCGTGTTGGACCGATACAGCCCACTGCGAACCACGCAAAGTCCGCACATGGCCACGCTCCAGGAAACTGCCTTTCTCAATGACGCGGACATGGTCATGAGCTTTGTCAATTTAGGTAAGAGAAACCGCTGCTTCTTCATCTCGTGCGTAATTGCGCTCTGGTCCACTGCTGCTGCTGCTGCTGATGTCTCAAAGTGGGAACAGGTGTCAGACTCAGATCGGGAATGGATCTTTTCAATATACAGCCGGTCTCATTCGATGCATATACACTTTGGAAATCATTGTTCAGTCCTGTTATATGCGCACTGTTTCTTCCCATGTGACTTTTATACATATTTTTTAGTCCAGTTCTGACTTAATTTTAGATTTGATAGCCCTATTCGCCTTCTCCATCTCCTCAGAAGCAGCTTGCACATATAGGCAGAGTCTTCATCTGTTATTGATCAGCTCATCAAATTAAAGAGCACTACGTATTTAGTCTTTTTTGGGGGGGGAGGAGTAGCATAAATGAGTACAGTTACAATTACCTTCTTTAGCTCAAAAGGTTTTTCCAATACTTTGAGATCATTGGAGAGACAATTCGGGCTCCCAGAAACACTAAAGCCTTGGTCATGTCTAAATAGATAATCTGGAGGTGATCAATAGCCAAGAATACTTTCCCCTCACTCAAAACCCAAACAGTCTTGTGTCTTTGAGGATTTCTGATTTAATCTTGTTCCAATATGAAAATCAAGGAAGGGATTTGTGCGATGAACAGTTTGGTAAATCAATCTCACAATGAATGAGAATGGTCTAACCCTATGGTCTAAGTTTGTACGTCTGTGCGTTAATACAATTTACTGAACAATGCAGTGTCATAAATCCCATACTATTCCTCTTGCTAAATTAGCTTTGATTATGTCTATGCCCCACAATGATTCATTGTCCTCTCTGGCTCTTTTCTTGATCCCAACTGTGGTTCCCAACCCCTCTTTGCATTTCTCCATGATTTACATCCACAAAGTAAAAGAAAAAGCCATCTCCAAAACCATCTAGCATCTCCCACCACCGCTGGTATTTGTATAGAAGGACTATCCCTGCTCTGGACCTCGACATTTGCGGTTGAGTGTGTAAATTGTGTTGCGCTGTTTGTGTTAGTGGGGGAGATAGGCCGTAATTAGAGGGACACTTTAATGATAATGACTTAGGAACATGAAAGCCCAGAGCCCTCCCTTCCATTAGTGCGTCCACTGTTTACTGCCCAACTCTAAACAAGCGACATTTTAGATAAACAGTAACAACGGTAGATGGATGGGGACGTTGTTGGGAACACTAAAGGTTTTGTCGTGCTGTGAATGCATGTAAAGTGTGTGTTTGGATTGGTCCTTGTTTGAATGTATCTCGTTTGTTATTGTTTGGATGGTTTTCCAAGTGGTTCCCAACCCTGTTTGTCTCCCTGAAGTTTAGTCTTACCTCTGAGCGCACGCACATTTTCTGTCTATGTTTTTTGCATATTATCAATTGTAATTTTTTGTATTGGTATGGTAGAATTATGTGATCGTTCAACATATTATCAAATGTTGCAAATAATAGATATAAGATAAGACTAGATAGACTTTATTGATCTCCCAGTGTAGACATTTACAATATATATATTTAAATTGCTACCATCTCCAAGTGTGAGATCAATCCAATTACCCCCCGGTGAGCTGTTTGCATTGATACAAGTTTACCCATCATGCATTACATAGGTGACCTGTATGTTACAAGCATGTAATTGGCACTTTGCAATTCATATTAAAGCTGGAGTACCTGACTTTCTCCTTTTTTAAAATGAAAAATACGTGTTGTTTGTCCCAACAGAGAGCTCCTTCAAAAAGTACAATTTTCTGAACAAAACACATGGTGGCTTTGTGTTATTGGAAAATACGTTTTCTTTTGCATATTTAGGAAAGAACGAACCATCTGCGTCACTATTTGACCCTTTGAGCTGAGGCCTGAGTGAGGGTGGTCCTCTCTTTTCCACTTTTCTTTCTCAAAAAGTCAATCCAAAGCTGGAACAGACGCCAAAACCTCATGTATGAAAACTACTGATAGAAGTTTTGAGAATATGATGGATTTTTATCACATAGTTAATTGTTGTGTTTTGATTGAAGTACCGCTGCTTAAAGCCTGCTGGTTGGAATAGGTTTTGGTATTTGTTAAAAAAAAGGCTTATGGTGTTTATCTAACGTGGAGTACTTTGTTTGTTGAAATATAATCATGTCGTTTTTAATCAAAATTTTGATGTTCTAAAAATTCCACATTGTTAATGCCATTCCATGATTCCACAAGTCTCTAAACACCTCCAAGAATGACATTTGGACGTCCATGACAAACATCCACTTATTCTTCATAAGATTTTGATTGGTCCCAAAGTCAGATAGTTTTAACCTTAACGAAACACCTGCATTTGTCGTTTAAGTTTATTCGTTTTTTGTTGTTGTTGCAATGTGTTGCCTGACAGATGGTAAAGTCAAATTCATATTTTATCCTGGTTTAGATCCAAAGGTGCTTGTTTGGTTTGGTTTTATGCAAGTTTTTATCAGTTCTGTTGCGCGTATGACCCTGAAATGACTTTTGCTTTTCAAATAAGTTGCATCTCAGTGTAGTATAGTAAGAATATAAACAATAAACAAGGAACAAAATAAAAACCAGACACCATTTTTTTTACAAATTGTTTGAAAAAGAGGCTGGACTTTTTGTTTGGCTCCAATCCCTCTCACTCATTCAACACAACTCAACACAATCACACACGCAACACAACACACGCACTTAACACAAGCACAACACACACAAGCACAATACACCACAACACAATGCACACCCTAACACAAGCACAACACACAACAATACAATACAACACACACAAGCGCAACACAAACACAAGACACACACTTAACACAAGCACAACACACAACGACACACTTAACACACAACAATCTTCTTTCTTTTGAAAGGACATTTTTCACTCCCCTGTATCTAGATAACGACAACTTCAAACTCGACTCACTTACCCACAATGCACTCCTTCCATTCTCTCTATGGCTTTTACGCAGTGCACCTGTAAAGTCCATATCACGGCTCGGCCTGGGCTCGTGTGGTCGACTGCAGCAGCCACTCAATGCCACACAGGAAGACGAGTGGAGCTGCCGTTAGAAAAGTCAAATGCTTCTTGCTTGTTATTGGTCCTCAGAGCTTTTGTGTTGCAACATGTCATGATGAAAACCAGAGCTGCAGACAGGAGCAGACTTTAGGACTTACACGGCCCCTATGCTGGCTCCTGTTTGGGGGTGACCTGTTTTGAGGTACCTTTTTTGACAGCTTATCGTCCTTCATTTTTCACCGTTCTGAAATCTGTATTGTTATTGTATTTGTTTATGAGTCTGTATCTTTCCATAGTTTATATTAGTTTTCCATAGTCATGAATGATTTTGCAACAAAGGACTATTTAACAAAAAAACAGATCTTTTGTGATGAATTCATTATGGGCTTTTTGGGTCGTTTGCATCGAAGCTGACCAAAGTATGCATTACATAACTATTCTTCTTCTTATTTATTCATGTTTTGATATAATAACTGCATATTTGTTTTAACATTCCTTTGCTCCTTATATTTGGCTTATATACAGTATATATTTGGGCGACACGGTGGCTGAGTGGATACACTCTCGCCTCTCAGAAAGAAGGTCCTGGATTCGGGATCCCCTGGGTTCGAATCCCAGGGCCTTTCTGAGTGGAGTTTGCATGTTCTCCCGGTGTCTGCGTAGGTTTCCTCCGGGTGCTCCGGTTTCCCCTACCACTAAAAACATGCACAATAGGTATGAATGTAAATGAGAGAGTGAATGGATGGTGGTGATTGGGGGCTGTGTGTTCGGCGACTCGCTTCCGTCATCACTGTGTGATGAACTCTGAACATTGTAAAGCGCTTTGGGTGACCTTGGTCTGTAAAATGCGCTGTATAAATAAACATTACTTCCTTATATATCCTGGATTCCGTTGAGATCATCTTAAGATTATTCTGATTACGATTGTGTTTTGTCAATTTGTAGCAGCTCTATACGCACATATTTATGCTAAGGTGAAGAAAACCATTTAATTTATTTTCACGTACCAGGTTTGATTGTGATGGAAACAACATTCTGTTTATGAGTTTTCGTTACTTAGAACTGAAGCTTTATTTCCGTTTGTCCGTTGCAATAATTTCCACATAAATCCGTGTCTTTCTTTCAGTCGCTGCGCCGCTGTTTGGCACATCTGGATCTGGCCTGTGTGTTCTTGATGGATCACGTCATGTGCATCTTTTGAAAATCCTCCCTGATTTCATTCTTAACTTGGGGATTATTGTTGCCCGCACATACGGCTGCACTTAGACTCCTAAGCTAACTGCCCTTTCGGAGGAGGGACTTCCTCCACAAATGTGATTGTAATTAATGCTATGCAGGGCCAAGGATTCCCATCTGCTTTGCAAATAATGCCTCGCACGACTACTGTGTGTCATCACTGGCCCAATTGGTTTTTAATGCACCTTTTGCTCCAATTGGATAAAGCAAAGTTGATAGAGTCCTGGATGTTTTTGTGAGTGGGTGGTCCGTCTTAAATCTGGATATCATATGTGGGGGCTACAAATTAGAATGATGAATTAACTGTGAAACGGAAAAGGAGCCAAACAATCTGTCTAAAGCTGTGAAAAATATGAGCTGGGATTAACAGCTGTAAACCATAAATGATATTCTTCAGTGATAATCAGATTCAAATTGGATTACTTGAAGCACATCGTCCTCGCACATGTCCAGATCGCAGTAAACATGAGGTCCAGTGGCAGTGATTTATGCCTCCTGTCTCAAACTGATGTCTTTCACAGCCAGGAGTTCAGATAGAGAGCTCATTTTGGGCCTGTATTCTCCAGGGGCACGGACAGATTTAAGAGCCCCAAAGTTACATCTTGTCTCCAGTGAGAGAGCTGCCTCTGCTTGATTCATGTTCACTACTTGTTCAACCATACATTCTTCCTTTGACGTCACCGCAGTCCAAGACCATGCAATGAATTTGTTTTTAAATTGTGAGAAAATTATGGCCATCAATTAAAATATATTGT